TCTCTTCGTGCTGCCAGTCCACTGTTGTCACTGACCCTTCCTTTGAGTCCACTGCTGCGTCGGCCCTAGTTGCTGAGCTTGTCGACTTTGCTGCTCGCTGTCGTCTAGACTACGCTGCTAGTCTTGTTGCTGAGTCTAAGTCTGTCTGTCCTCCGTCCGTCGGGGGTGAGTGTGCTCTTAGCACGGACGTCCTTGAGGACAGGCAGGAGGAGTTCCAGTGTTTTGCTGCTGCTTTGCCTCATCTCGTGTCCACGCTGATTGCCCCTGAGGGAGACCCGGATGCACCAGACATCCCGACTCCTCGATCGTACGCTGAGGCGATCGAGGGTCCCTACTCCTCTCAGTGGCAGTCAGCCATGGACGCAAAGATGGCTTCCTGGAAGTCCACAGGCACCTACGTCGACGAGGTTCCCCCACCTGGGGCGAACATCGTCAGTGGCATGTGGATTTTCAAGGTGAAGCGGCCGCCGGGTTCTCCGCCTGTCTTCAAGGCGCTTTACGTGGCTCGAGGCTTCAGTCAGCGGCAGGGAGTTGACTACTTTCAGACCTTCTCTCCCACCCCGAAGATGACCACTCTTCGGGTGCTGCTGCACATAGCCGCTCAGCGCGACTACGAGCTTCACTCTCTTGACTTCAGCACAGCTTTCCTGCAGGGCAGCCTGCACGAGGAGATCTGGCTGCGCCGCCCACCTGGCTTCACTGGGTCGTTTCCCCCTGGTACCCAGTGGAGCCTCCGGCGGCCAGTCTACGGTCTCCGCCAGGCGCCCCGTGAGTGGCACGACACACTGAGGACTACACTTGCGGCTCTTGGGTTTGCTCCTTCTACTGCCGACCCGTCGTTGTTTCTGCGCACCGACACCTCTTTGCCGCCGTTCTACATACTCGTGTACGTCGACGACTTGGTCTTTGCCACTGCTGACACTGCTGGACTCGCCCACGTGAAGTCCGAGCTGCAGAAGAGACACACGTGCACAGACCTGGGTGAACTGCGCAGCTACCTTGGCTTGCAGATCACCCGGGACAGAGCACAGCGCACCATTACCCTGACTCAGTCACACATGGTGCAGCAGGTCCTTCATCGCTTCGACTTCACGTACTCCTCGCCTCAGGCCACTCCTCTGTCTACTCGCCACTCGCTCTCAGCTCTGCCTTCGGATGAGTCCGTAGAGCCCAGTTGCCCGTACCCAGAGCTTGTTGGCTGCCTCATGTACCTGATGACCTGCACTCGACCTGACCTTGCATACCCTCTTAGCATCTTGGCACGCTATGTTGCTCCTGGGAGACACCGACCAGAGCACATGGCTGCAGCGAAGAGGGTGTTGCGCTACTTGTGCAGTACGTCGGGCATGGGGCTAGTGCTTGGAGGGCGACGTCGAGTGGTCCTCACAGGTCACGCAGACGCTTCTTGGGCTGACGACCAGGCTACGCAGCGGTCATCACAGGGTTACACCTTCAGCCTTGGCTCCGGCTCTGTTTCGTGGCGGTCTACCCGCTCGTCTTCTGTTCTCGGCTCCAGCTGTGAGGCTGAGATCTACGCGGGGGCCATGGCTGCACAGGAGCTACGCTGGCTCACCTACCTGCTGACTGACCTAGGAGAGCCGCCTCGTTCTCCTCCAGTTCTGTACGTAGACAACAAGGCCATGCTGGCCTTGTGTTGGGAGCACAGACTGGAGCACAGAACGAAGCACATTGCTCTCCGCTACTTCCTTGCTCGTGAGCTGCAGCAGCGTGGTCAGCTGCGCCTTGCTTACGTGGCCTCTGAGGCCAACACTGCTGATATCTTTACCAAGGCACTTCCGCCTGGTGATCATCAGCGCTTCTGTACTATGCTAGGTCTTGTGCCTACTTGGCCTCACTTGCTCACTTCTTGACCTTGCTTGTACTGTGATCTTTCTATACCTGCACTTGCCTGTTTACCTTTATATATGATCTTGCATGTGAACTGGCCTTGTGGCCTTGCTCTTGTGCTCGGATTGTGTGGTGACGTTGTGATCCACCCTGAGCTTGCTTTGCTTTGCTTGACTGGTCTTGTGACCTCTTGTTCTCCCCCACTTTGCCTATGGGGGTGTGTCAAACTTATATCATATAGCTTGTCTAGGCTATAGTGGGGTAGACACTATGGGGTACAGTTTCCTAGGGTTTCCTACTTGTACCCAACCTTGTGCTAGTTCATTCATTCCTCTTTTCTTCACACTTTTATAAACAAAATCGAACCATATTAACTTCACATTCCCATATAAACATAAACATCTCATGAATCATCCTACTCCATATATTGACAAAGTTAGAAGGCAGAAACAGAATTGAAGAAAGGAGGGCTTTCACTAGCAGCAGTTGGGATACATATAGCAAACCCTAACTGGGTTGTACCCGCTATAGAGCACCCCAATACAGGCTAGATAATAACATTCTGACATATATCTCAAAGTATTCATAGTCGTTAACAAGATTCTGTGAAAATAGTAGGTAGAGTTAGGAGCCATAGCTAGGTAAGTCCTAGCTAGGCAAGAGAAGTTTAGGCAAAAAGGGGAAGAAGAGGAGGTTCACTAGAAAGCAGCAGGATACATATAGGAAACCCTAAGGGGTTGTACTCGCTATAGAGTACCCCACTGCAGGCTAGAGAACAATGACATTCTGACACACCCCCATAGCCAAAGTGGGGTGTAATCAGCAGAGCAAGCAAAGCAGAACAAGCTCAGGGTGGATCACAATGTCACCACACATTCTGAGCACAAGTACAAGAAGCAATAGTTTAAAGTTCACAATTATGAGCAAAGCTAGAGGCTATCGCAGAGGGCAAGTGAGGAGGAGGAGGCGAGAGTGAGAGGAGAGGAGATAGGAGGCGACGGCTGAAGCTGCAGACACACGGGCAACAGGAGTCACACTGGCACAGCGGCTACCGGAAGAACGCTCCGGACTACTGGAGTAACTGGCTCCGCGGCTAAAAGTAGCGGCAGACGAGCAACGGACCCACGAGCGACTGGCACAGCTGGCTGCGACTGGGCTACCGGAGCAACTCCCCGGACTACAGGTGCTGCTGGCGACACGACGGTAACCTCAGTTCAACCTCCCCAAACAGTCCCACTCCCCCTGACACACACCCCCTGCTTCACCCCTAGCTCCACTCCCCCTTCACCCCCCTTAGTACCACTCCGACGGCTCCAACAGGTCCACCCCCCTCAGCGGCAGCTGCAGCACTGGGAGACGGAGGAGGAGGAGGAGCAGGGGACGGCACACAGAAGCTGCACCCCTAGACCCCCCACCCCCAAACCCTAATTCAGGAGAACGGGCAGCAGCAGGGGTGGGGCGCCATCAGAAGCACGGGGGACAGCGGGCAGCGCAGGGGCAGCGAAGAACGGGCCGCCCACGGGCCTGGCACAGCCGCCCGAACCGCGCGCAGGCGGCCCGAGCCGCGCGCGGGCCTGGCGCAGCCCGTACGGGCCGCGCGCGGGCCTGGCGCAGCCCGTACGGGCCGCGCGCAGGCTGTACGAGCCGCGCGCAGGCCACGACGGGCGACGGGGGGCGACGCGCGGGTCCCCGTCGCCCGTCGCAGCGCCTCCCGGGAGCGACGCGCGGAGTGACGGGGCAGAAACCCGCCGCGCGCCTCGGGGCGCACGGCGGGCAGACAACCGCCGCGCGCCTCGGGGCGCACGGCGGGCAGAAAACCGCCGCGCGCCTCGGGGCGCACGGCGGGCAGAAAACCGCCGCACGCTCCGAGCGCGCGGCGGGATGAAAAAATCCGTCGCACGCCACGGGGCGTGCGACACAGAGAGTAGCAGTAGCAGCGGAAGCAGTGAGGTGGTGAGCCCACCCACAGGATCGACCCAAGGGGATCGACCTGCTCTGATAGCATGTGAAAATAGTAGGTAGAGTTAGGAGCCATAGCTAGGTAAGTCCTAGCTAGGCAAGAGAAGTTTAGGCAAAAAGGGGAAGAAGAGGAGGTTCACTAGAAAGCAGCAGGATACATATAGGAAACCCTAAGGGGTTGTACTCGCTATAGAGTACCCCACTGCAGGCTAGAGAACAATGACATTCTGACAGATTCGACGTTAACGTCGGAAGGGTTATGTAGGACTTATATTTTTCGTGCTAAGACGTGATGAACTGCTTGATATTATACTTATGGTATATAGAGAAAGCAACTGACTATGTCTTTTATAACATGCTTATAAGTTCTTTATTTTGTTACTGCTCATGGTAATTTTTTACTACCACTGATTGTAGTTAATGGCTGAAGACTTAAAGACCTATAAGTATATTTGTTTTCGTAAGCAATATTCTTTTCTAGTGAGTTTGTGTATTTGCAGCCAAATCTTGTGTGTCACAAATCTTCAGATTTCTTGATTTTGGCGAGTACAAAGGAACTGGTGTATTTAGATTGTGAAAACTGGTTCGTGCCTCGTTGGCAGAAAATTTTCTTGCCAGCGCTACACAAACCCAACCAAACCTTTCCCCACTGTCAACTCTGCTCCTTTAGGAGTCCCGTTTCTTGAATTCAAGCACCTGCTCAACTCTGATCTCCCCAAATACCTTCCCACTCGTTTTTTTAGAACCACCTTGCCGTCACCTCTCCCTCACTCCCGGCCGTCGCCTCACCTCACCCCCCACCGTCGCCTCTCCCTCCCTCCCCGCCGTCGCTCTCCCTTCCTCCTCGTCGTCGCCTCTCCCTCCCTTCCCGCCGTCGCCTTTGGTGGGTTGCTGCACGACCACGCGTTGTTTTCTTAGGCTCGGTTGTCTCAGGTGCGTTTGCTACTCTCTCCGAAATGTCCTATTTTTTCCACTTTCCTCGTAAGTTCTCAATGCCGATTGGTCTCCTTTTAGAAATTGTGCCTCCATTTTAAGAAGGGGAGAGAGGGAGTGTGAGGGAGTGTGTGCGCACGGGAGCGAGCACGCAGGCGCATAGCTTGCTGGCGCCTAACGGGTTGGCGCCAAACGCGCTGGCGCCTAGCGCGCTGGCGCCTAGCGCGCTGGCGCCTAGCTGGCGCCTAACGCGCAGGCGCCTAGAGCGCGCCTAGCGCGCTGCCGCCTAGCGCGTTGGCGCATAGCGCGCTGGTTCCTAGCGCGCTGGCGCCTAATGCGCAGGCGCCTAAAGCGCTGGCGCCTAACGCGCTGGCGCTTGCTGCGCTGGCGCCTAACGCGCTGGTGCCAAAGTCGCTGGCGCCTAGAGCGCTGGCGCCTAACGCGCTAGCGCCTAGCGCGCTAGCGCCTAGCGCGCTTGCGCTTGCTGCGCTGGCGCCTAGCGCGCCGGCGCCTAGCGCGCTGGCGCCTAGCGCGCTGGCGCTTGCTGCGCTGGCGCTTGCTGCGCTGGCGCTTGCTGCGCTGGCGCCTAGCGCGCCGGCGCCTAGCGCGCGGGCGCCTAAAGCGCTGGCGCCTTACGCGCTGGCACCTAACGCGTTGGTGCCTTACGTTTGGCGCCTTGCAGGTGCCCTCGCAGCGCGCTGGCACCTTGTAGCATGCTGGCGGCTTGTGCGCTGCTGCCTTGTTTGCGGCGCTGGCAAATTCCTGCGGCAGCCTTGTTGCGGCAGCGCGCTGGTAAATTTGTGCACACGCTCACGCGTTGCTGCAGTGAGCTCACGCGTTGCTGCAGTGAGCTCACGCCTTGCTGCAGTGAGCTCACGCGTTGCTGCAGTGAGCTCACGCGTTGCTGCAGTGAGCTCACGAGTTGCTGCAGTGAGCTCACGCCTTGCTGCAGTGAGCTCACGCCTTGCTGCAGTGAGCTAACGCCTTGCTGCAGTGAGCTCACGCGTTGCTGCAGTGAGCTCACGCGTTGCTGCAGTGAGCTCACGCGTTGCTGCAGTGAGCTCACGCGTTGCTGCAGTGAGCTCACGCGTTGCTGCAGTGAGCTCACGCGTTGCTGCAGTGAGCTCACGCGTTGCTGCAGTGAGCTCACGCCTTGCTGCAGTGAGCTAACGCCTTGCTGCAGTGAGCTCACGCCTTGCTGCAGTGAGCTCACGCGTTGCTGCAGTGAGCTCACGCGTTGCTGCAGTGAGCTCACGCGTTGCTGCAGTGAGCTCACGCGTTGCTGCAGTGAGCTCACGCGTTGCTGCAGTGAGCTCACGCGTTGCTGCAGTGAGCTCACGCGTTGCTGCAGTGAGCTCACGCGTTGCTGCAGTGAGCTCACGCGTTGCTGCAGTGAGCTCACGCGTTGCTGCAGTGAGCTCACGCGTTGCTGCAGTGAGCTCATGCCTTGCTGCAGTGAGCTCACGCGTTGCTGCAGTGAGCTCACGCGTTGCTGCAGTGAGCTCACGCCTTGCTGCAGTGAGCTCACGCCTTGCTGCAGTGAGCTCACGCCTTGCTGCAGTGAGCTCACGCCTTGCTGCAGTGAGCTCACGCCTTGCTGCAGTGAGCTCAAGCCTTGTTACGGCAGCCCGCTTGCTCCTCTGCCAGTGCCTTGCTGCAACTCTCTGGCACCTTGTAGCATGGCGATGCCCAGCTCGTTGCACCAAGGCACCTTGCTCGCTGGAGCCTTGCTGCACACCAGCGTGGTGTGCGTGACCCCAGGGGATCTATGCTTCAAACCACGCTTGTGAGTCGTCGAATTCGGTTTTCTTTTGTACTTATCATATTTCTTTCAAGTTCCATTTCACAATCACGTGCGTGTTCGTCATTGAATAGTTCACTCGTTCCGACTACAATTCTTTTTCTGCTTGACCTGTTTGTTTTGCAAGGTGTGCGAGACGCGTTGTGAGGAGCAGGGAGGGATCGAGAGAGAAGACAATGTGGAAAAGGGTGGGAGGAGATTTCGATGGTTGAGGGAGAGGAAGGAAGGCAGAAAGGGGGAGTAAGGGGGGGACAAGGTAGCAGTGATTGATACATAATTAACTTATTGCAACTCTTTGTTATGCTTGTCTGCTCTCAATCCTATTTGTGTATGTATGTGTGTGCGGTGCGGGTGTGTTTGTGCGGGTGTGTGTTCATGTCTTGTCGTTGTGTTTTTTCACAGTGGGGTTTTACGTGCGTTTGCATTCGTGTTTGTGGGATGTGTGTTTCAAAGTGTGGTGTTAGTATGTGTTATGTATGCAATTAGAGGTTGTTAATCGTCTTTGGGGCAGCGTGTTTTCGCTGTTTCAACGACCCCATCAACCTCTGTTGCTGCATGATGCATGTTAACATTCATTTTGAAGCATTCACTCCACCTCATACGGTACCTTGTTGTTCATTTGTACAATTGCATTCGTTCATGTTGATGCCAGAATATTATGCTTGGCCGTACGATCCGCCGTATTTATCGACGAGGTTGTGACGGTCGAGCAAGTTCATGGTTTCAACATGATACGTACGTGGTTACGTGTTTTTGGGATCTCATTCAAGAGTGTTTTTTATCCACTGTTTGAGGCATCCGTTTGAACACCGTTTCAAAACATTCAAACGAGTGCTCCAAAAAGTGCGTAAATAACACTCTTCGAATGATATCCCCAAAATGTGAAACCAAATATAAAGGGTTGCTACGCAACCCAAAAAAACAAACGCATGTTACAAATGTTGCTTCGCAACCCTTAGACGATTTAGTCGCCTCTTGTTCTATATATATATTCTGTTTTTGTTCTAAGCTCCACTCCACCTTGCCTCCGCCCCTTCCCCTCCACACTGGTGTCGGACGTCCCCCCAGCCTATCTCCCCCGTTCCCCCACCTCCCCAGACCTCAAGCAAGTCCGTTCACAGCAGTTCCTGCCAATATATAAACGAACATGGGCTTCTCATTCTTCATTTTCCAGTTTCCTTCCACCTCGTTCCTAGGTGAACGGAAGCGGCCTATCGAGCTACAGGCCTCTCGAGCCTAGCTGTGGATGGTAGCTGGTAAATAAGGATTAAGCAGGTCTGATCCCGGTCGATCGAGACCGCTACGACCTGTTTACGATTTTTGACATAGTTTACTAGCATCCGTCGCCTCAATTTTCACTAGGAAACCCTAATTGGTGTAGAAAAGGAGATTATTATAGAGGCGGAGACCAGAAGCTTGCGGACCAGACGCCGCCAGAGCCGAAGCCGCCGGAGCCGCCGCGATGGAGCAGCGGTTCGGGTTTTCGCCGGCGGAGGTGGCGAAAGTGAAGACGGTGCAGTTCGGCGTGCTCAGCCCGGATGAAATCGTACGTCGCGCTGCGACCGAAATAGCCTTTTCGCTGATAAGCTCGCCATTTGACTCTAGCCTACGTTCCGTCAGGCGTAGAAATGATTATTTTTTAAGTCGGACGAGCGTCGTGTTGGTTGTGCAACTGTTTGTCTGCTGGGAAATTGTGGCGAATCCAGTAGCTTCGTTACCCGTTCGTTTCGCCATTGGCGTTGGGAATGCTGATCCATTCGCCACTTTTCGTGGCCATGGGGTACAATAAAGTAGGTTCATGGCGACAGCTTGACATAGGTTACGACGAGAAGTCTCTCTAAGTATGGATATACTGAAAGTATGAGGCCGGAAGGTTTTATAGCGGCAGCTTAACAAATATTACGGTGAGAACGTAGGCTGTGTTTGTCAGCTGTCCCGCAATCAATTCTTTTGTGACGCATGTCACTGTCCTGGCCTTGAATTGCCGCAGCTGCGACAAGCACTGATCGTTTCCGCCTCTCCACCCGCTCCCCAAATTATCCCTGCGATACCCATCCCTCGTGCGACACCCACCAGCGTCGCATGTCCGTCGTCCAAATCGACACGAGCGACCTGTACGACCGGGGAAAACCACGCGAAGGCGGGCTGAGCGACCCGCGCCTGGGCACGATCGACCGGAGCGTCAAGTGTCTGACGTGTCAGGGCGGCATGGCGGAGTGTCCCGGGCACTTCGGGCATCTGGAGCTGGTGCGGCCCATGTTCCACATCGGCTTCATCAAGGTCGTCCTCACGCTGCTGCGCTCCGTCTGCCACAACTGCTCGCGCATCCTCGCCGACCCGGTGAGTCGAGGGGGATGTCTGGGTTGGGTGTCTTCTGGGTTCGTCTCACGTGCCATTTGTTTGTCTGGTACCTTTACCAACTCGCAAATGCCCGCGATTCTCCCCCCCCGCCCTTCCGCCCGTCTCCTTCCCCCTTTCTCCCTCCATCCGCGCCCCTTACCCCTTCCCCTTCCTTCCCCCCCCACTTTTCTCCCCATTCCTCCCCCCCCTCTTCTCTTCATTCCTTCCCCCCCCCCTCCGCCTCAGAACGATTACCGGTACAAGATGGCGCTGCGAGTGCGCAACCCGAAGCAGCGCCTGCGCCGCATGTACGAGTGCTGCCGCACGCGCTCCGTGTGCGCCGCAGACACGCCCCCCGAAGGCACCGAGGACGGCGCCGACCCTGCCAACCCGGACGGGGAGGACTTTGATGACCCTGAGCGCAAGGTTCGGCGCGGCGGGTGCGGGGCCACCCAGCCTAAGTACACGATCGATGGGATGAAGATCATGGCTGAGTTCAAAGCGCCGAAGAGGGGGAGGAATGAGATGGAGGAGGAGGAGCAGATAGAGCCGACCGAGAGGAAGCAGCAGATGTGGCCTGACCGGGTGCTGAGCATTCTGAAGCGCATAACAGACGAGGATTGCGAGCTTCTCGGGCTGAATCCCAAATACGGCCGCCCGGACTCGTTCATCCTGCAGGTGCTGCCGGTGCCGCCACCGCCCGTGCGACCGTCCGTAATGATGAGCAGCTCGGCACGTAGCGAGGACGACCTAACCTACCAGCTGGTGATGATCATCCGACAAAACGAATATGTAAAAAAGCAGGAGGCGAACGGCATGGCAGCGCACGTGATCAACGACCAGCTGCAGATCCTGCAGTTCTACATCGCCACCTACTTTGACAACGACCTGCCGGGGCAGCCCCGAGCCACTCAGCGGTCGGGGCGGCCGATCAAGTCGATCTGTGCGCGGCTGAAGGCGAAGGAGGGGCGCATTCGGGGGAACCTGATGGGGAAGCGGGTGGACTTTTCAGCGCGGACGGTGATCACGCCGGACCCGAATATCAATATTGACGAGCTGGGCGTGCCGTGGAGCATTGCTCTCAACCTCACGTACCCGGAGACTGTCACGCCCTACAACATTGACAAGTGAGCGTGTGTGCGTGCGCGAATGTTTCCCTTCTATTGCTTCGTACTCTCTATCCAGCTTTCTCATGCTCGTCTCTGATCCGTTCTTTGCCCTCTCACCTCACTCGCTCCACGTTGCAAGCGCTCTTGGATAACGGCTCTACTCCCCTTGGGGCACGACAGGCTCTTCTGTTTCATTATCCTCTCGCCTTCAATGCTCTCCCCTCTTCCTAATGCCTCCTACTACCCACCCCCTTACAACCGCCTTTCAGGCTGCGGGAGCTGGTGTATAACCCTCCCCCCCCTCCCCCCCTCCACACACCCTCCACCCCCCCTCTTTCCCGGAAAAACATGCGCCGATGCTGCCTC